AAGACCTGAAATATTTCAGTTGGTGTGCAATGAATCTGAAATATATGAAAGTTTCATTTTTATCATTACATTATGGAAAATAATGACCTTTATCACAATATGCTAATTTTTTTAGAAGGACCTGTATATAGCACCTTTCTATCTTATCGAGATACTCAAAGTTCTTTACAACAATATGTGTCCTCATTTACCCATTTATACAGCACTCTACTAGATCTCTACAAAGCTAATTGAACAAATCATTCTAATGAGACTAATCAGAGCTTTATCACATTCATACACTGATGGGTGAATGAATGATGTTTTGCTAATATCAGCTCAGACAGACAAAGACAAAACATGTGAGGACATGTGTTTATTCATGGTAATTATCTGAATAAGACATCAGATTTGACCAGTTGTCCTCCAGAAGTGACGTCTTCAAGGCTTGACCTCCTGCTGGAAGTGACATCACCATGTTGTCGGGACAACAAAGACACATTTACGCTTCTTTAGCACAAACAAAAGCATTTTTTTGGCTGCAGACTTCATCGTTGACGTAATTTTGTCCTGTAAACAATACAAGAGATTCAAAATAACAGAAATTAGAATTGGACTTACCCTGAGTTTTTTTTCCTGAACTGAATAATTACAAAACACAAACTGATAACAATGTAGCCATGTTTTGTCTTCAATACAGAGACAAACAAGTGTCATAAAGAATGACCAGATAAAATCCTGTAAAATATTATTTAAGCTAAAATGACCCAAAATTTAAACCTAATTCTGTCGTTCACAGTGGAAACATCTTTTTAAAGATCAGTTATCATCTTTTGTACCATTCCAATTCATATCCATGCAGTTCTCATGTCCACCCGCGTTGTTTGGCTCCCCTTCGCCCCAGTGAGTGTAGGAGAAGATGGAGCCATCGGTCCATTTCCATTCATCATTCTGTGAAATGAAGTTTTTAAACATCAATTCTTTTTATTCATTCTGATTGTGAAAAGATTTACAGAAAACTTTTCCCACTAGATAGATTGCTACACTAAATCCTTACTTGTCCCTTGGTGCCTCCAACCCAAGATTTTGTGTTGGTTCCAGAAGCAGTCAAAATGAGTTCCCTGATGAATTTGTACTCATTTTCATCATGAAAGGAGGCCAAATGTCCATCGTGGTCAGTGCAGTATCCCTGTGTTGAAAGATGCCAGCATAAACACATCATCACATCTTCATCATTGTGATGAACTATTTATACAGGAGGCAAATAACATGGCAGTAATAACCTATCTGTGAAGTCTCTGATTAGTCATCAGTTTTAGAACTACGCTAACACTATATTCAGTGAAGGTGGGGTGCTGTTGACCTCAGCCAGTGATGTCATCGGGAGGAGGAAGGAATACTTCTCGGACCTTCTCAATACCTTCAATGGAGGAAGCAGAGTCGGGGTACTTTGGGGTTGGGCTGTCCATAACTGTGGCTGAGGTCACCGAGGTAGTTAAAAAGCTCCACAGTGGCAGGGCTCTGGGTGTGGATGAGACTTGCCCTGATTCCCTAAAGGCTCTGGATGTTGTGGGGCTGTCTTGGTTGACAAGCCTTTGTAACATCACGCGGACATCTGGGGCAGTGCCACTGGGTTCCCTTAGCAAAAAGTAGTTTATTTAAGTGTACTACAAGTATACTTATTTTACACTAAAAATGAGGAAGTGTCCTTGAAGTTTACTTTTTATAAACTTTATTTGATATACTTAAAAATAGTATAAAAATGTCCCAATTTAGTCCAAACAAGTATTAAATAAGTATACTTCTAGTACACTACAAGTATGGTGTGTAGTATACTTGATATACTTATACTTAACTTAAAGTATACTTGCAAAAATAAACTTCAAATGTACTACTTTTTGTTAAGGGTTGGCAGACTGGGGTGGTGGTCCCCTTCTTCAAAAAGGGGGACTGGAGGGTGTGCTCCAATTATAGGGGTATAATTCTCTTTAGCCTCCCTGGTAAGGTCTATCCTGGGGTACTGGCGAAGTGAGTATGATCGTTGGTCGAACCTCAGATCCAGGAGGAACAATGCGGGTTCTGTCCTGGCCATGGAACACTGGACCAGCTCTTTACCCTCACTAGGGTCCTTGAGGGGTCATGGGAGTTTGCCCATACAGTCCACATGTGTTTTGTGGACTTAGAAAAGGCATTCGACCATGTTCCTTCGGGTACTCAGTGGAGGGTGCTCTGTGAGTATGGGATTGGGGGACCATTTTTCTGGGCTGTTTGGTACCTATACAACTAGTGCAATAGTTTGGTTTGCATTGCTGGTAGTAAGTCTGACCCCTTCAGGGTGGGAGTTGGACCCCACCAGGGTTGCCTGTTGTCACTGATTCTTTTCATAACTTTTATGGACAGAATTTCTCGGTGCAGCCAGGGGGCGGAGGGATTCCGGTTCAGTGGCCTCAGGATTCCATCTCTGCTCTTTGCAGATGATGTGGTCCTGTTGGCATCATTGTGCCATGATCTTTAGCTCTCACTGGAGAGGTTTGCAGCCAAGTGTGTGTGAAGCAGCTCGGATGAAAATCAGAACCTCCAAATCTGAGGTCATGGTCCTAAACCAGAAAAGGATGGATTGCTCTCTTCAGGTTGAGGGTGAGGTTCTGCCTCAAGTGGAGGAGTTCAATTATCTCTGGGTTTTGTTCACGCATGAGGGAAGAATGGAGTGTGAGATTGGCAGATGTATTGGTGCAGCATCTGCAGTATTGTGGACTCTGTACTGGTCTTTTGTGGTGAAGAGGGAGCTGAGCTTTAAGGCAAAGCTCTCTGTTTACCGGTAAGTCTACGTTCCTACCCTCACCTATGGTCATGAACTCTGGGTAGTGACTGAAAGAATGAGATTTCAGATACATGCGGTTGAAATGAGTTTCCTCCACAGGGTAGCTGGACTCTCCCTTAGGAAAAGGGTGAGAAGTTCATTTACCAGGAGAGACTCGGAGTCGAACCGCTGCTCCTCCAGATTGAGAGGAGCCAGTTGAGGTGGTTCGGGCATCTGGTAAGGATGCTCCCTGGACGCCTCCCTAGGTGCTTCAGGCATGTCCAATTGGGAGGAGACCTTAGGGAAGACCCAGAACACAGTGGAGAGACTATGTCTCTCGGATGGCCTGGGAATGCCTTGGGGTTGGAAAAAGTGGTTGTGGAAAGAGATGTCTCTACCTCCCTGAGCAAGATGCTGCCCCCGCGACCCGACTTTGGAACAAGCGGAAGATGATGGATGGATGGAAGGTTGGCAACTGATTCAAACTAAAAATGTCACATCAAGGAACTTCCATGATCGATGAACAGATTCCTGCCTTAGTTTGTCCACAAGGGTCTAAAACAGCTCTATGTAAAAATGCAGTTGGGTTAGTTTTGTACCATAATATCATTATCAAGAAAAAGATATCAAGTATTTGAAGATTTAACTTTAGATTAAGGAACATGAAGTAAAAAATAATCATTGAAGGAACAGCTGTTCTTGTTTCCAAATTTCTGCTTCTCATTTGAGGAAATTTCTCAGTTCAAAACTGTCATGATGCAGTTTTAACTTCAAAAATAGTAAATGGAGTGTACTTCTATAGCGCCTTTATATCTAAGCAATATACTCAAAGTGCTGTATCTCATTTACCTCCACACATACACATGCATACATTACTCCGCTGGATCTCTACAAAGCTAATTTGAATTTGTAGAGATTAATCAGAACTTTAGATCACATTCATAAACTGAACACACATCAGAGGAAGGGTTCAGTGTCTTGCCCAGGGACACTTCAACATGTGAATGCTGCTGGAATTAAACCCCCACTCTCCCATTGGAGGATGACTGCTCTAACCACGTAGCCACAGCTGTCCCCAACACTGAATCTAGACCATCATGTCACACAAATACCACGAACAGTTAAAGAGTTGTACCTCAGCATCATCCCAGGTCTTTTCATCACTCTCGAACACAAAACAGTGATTTCTAAAAAACTTCCATTCAGAAGGGCATTCACCTACACAAACAGAAGAAAATGTGCTTTTTATTAAATATGATTGAATGTCAATGACCACAATAAGGCTTTTAATAATGTGACACTAATGCATGAAATACAACCATTTATTTACCTGCAGTTCATTTGGTGTGAGATATGAATTATTAAAGACTCTCCACTTTAGGTTTTGGAGAGAAGATTCAGAGTTCAAATTTTATTAAATTTAAATTAAAATCACAAATGTACATTTTGATTTATAAACTGTAGAAGTGTAAAGTTTGAGGGACTAGAAAGTTCCTTTTCAAAGACTTTTGTAAAGTTTAAACATCATAAAAGTTGAACATTCTGTG